AAATTATACAATGGACAGACTATTATGTAGACTAAATGTAATAATTACAAGAATTTCAAATATCCTAATTATTGTAATTGAATCTGAAATATATTGTATATTCAAGTGTATAAGTCTGTACAAGGAGGCTCTCTATTTATAGAGACTAAAAGACCTAACGGAATGACCTAATGGGCCAAGCCCACAATCTAGACTATTCTAATAATAATAAATTAATTATATTATTTCTAACACTCCCCCTCAAGCTGGTGCGTATATATCAAAAGCTCCCAGCTTGTTACAAATATGATCTATTCGAGGACCTCTAAGAGCTTTAGTGAATACATCCGCAAGTTGATCATTGGAATTGACAAATGCTGTCTCGATCTCCCTTGACTGGATCTTTTCTCTAACAAAATGACAGTCAATTTCTATATGCTTGGTCCTCTCATGAAAGACTGGGTTAGAGGATATATGCAAAGCGGCTTGGTTGTCACAAATGAGCTTCATGGGCCTTTGTTCACAGAGATGGAGTTCCTTCAGCAATTGACTCAGCCAGATGAGCTCACAGGTTGCATTTGCCATTGCCCGATATTCTGCCTCCGCACTGGATCTGGCGACCACAGTTTGCTTCTTACTCTTCCAAGAGATCAAATTTTCTCTGAAGAGAACACAATACCCTGAGGTGGATCGTCTATCTGAAGGAGAACCTGCCCAGTCAGCATCTGAATAACTAGAGATCTCTGAACTCCCTTTATTTGTATATAATAAACCTCTTCCTGGAGCCTTTTTAATATATCGGAGAATTCTAATAACTGCATCCCAATGGGAGTCACAGGGAGAATCAAGAAATTGACTTGCAACACTCACTGCGAAGGAGATATCTGGCCTTGTCACAGTAAGATAATTCAATTTTCCAACTAATCGGCGGTAACGACTAGGATTTGGCAGTGGCTCCCCTGTCCTGGTAATAACTTAACATTGGGGTCCATAGGTGTATCAATGGGTTTACAGCCTAACATGCCAGTCTCATCTAGGATATCCAGTGCATACTTCCTCTGACAGATGGAAATGCCCCGCCTAGACTGTGCAACTTCGATCCCAAGAAATATCGAAGTCTGCCAAGATCTTTGGTCTGAAATTGATTGAATAAATGCTCTTTCAACTGATCAATCCCGGTCTGATCACTGCCTGTAATGATAATGTCATCAACATAGACCAGGAGATAAACACACTGGCCAAAAGAGCTATGCCGGTAAAAGACAGAATGATCGGCTTTGCTTCTGATTAAGCCAAAGGATTCAACAACTGAACTAAAGCGGCTAAACCACGCCCGAGGAGATTGCTTCAGGCCATATAAAGATTTCCGAAGTTTACATATCATTCCAGAACTCTCCTCCTGAGCAACAAAACCTGGTGGTTGCTCCATATAAACTTCCTCCTGCAAGTCACAATGTAGAAAAGCATTCTTAATATCAAGTTGGAGAAGGGGCCAGTGATGAATGGCGGCAAGGGCAAGAAACAGGCGAACAAAAGCCATCTTAGCAACAGGAGAAAAGGTATCCCCATAATCAAGACCAAAGATCTGTGTGTATCCCTTGGCCACTAAGCGAGCTTTAAAGCGATCAACAGTGCCATCAGGACCAACTTTAACTGTGAACAGCCATCGACAACCAACAACAGACTTCCCGGGAGGAGCACGAACAAGATCCCAAGTGCCATTGGAGTGAAGTTCCTGCATTTCATCAAGCATCGCCTGGCGCCACCCTGGATGAGATAGTGCTTCACCTGTGGTTTTAGGGATGGAAACAGAAGAGAGACTAGAAACAAAAGTAAAATGTTGTGAGGAAAGTCTGTCATAACTCAAGAAAGAATAAAGGGGATGAGGATTTCGAGTGGATCGAATACCTTTCCGAAGGGCAATGGGAGGAGTCTCTGATGGAGGATCCGGAGGAGAAGAGCCGACGGGAAAGGGCGATGAGTCATCAAGAGGCAAAGTCGGAGGAGGTGCAGGATGACGACGCTGGTATGTGAGGAGAGGACGATCTGCAGGTATGGAGGTAATTGGTTGCTCCTCTGGAATAGGGTCACCTGCAGCTGGTAAAGACAAGTCAAGAAAAGGAACAGGGAGGACCTGATCAACTTGGGACACTGGAGACGGAGTAGAGTGAAAAGGCTGCTGATCAAGGAAAGTGACATCAGCAGAAACGATATAACGCTTGAGATCAGGAGAATAGAAACGATACCCTTTTTGAAAACGTGTATACCCAAGGAAAATACACTTGAAGGCCTTGGATGTCAACTTGTCTTTACCTGGAGTAAGATCATGAACAAAACAAGTACAGCCAAAAATATGTAAAGGCAGAGGATAAGAAGGTGCTCCGGAAAACAAAATACTGTGGGGAACATCATTATTTAGCACAGAAGAGGGCATGCGGTTGATAATGAAACATGAGGTGATAATAGCATCTGCCCAAAAACGGAGTGGGACGTTCATATGAATGAGAAGGATACGTGCAGTTTCAACTAGATGTCTATTTTTACGTTCAGCGACTCCATTTTGTTGTGGAGTGTGAGGACAGGTAGTCTGGTGTATCGTCCCTGGTGTATCCAGAAATTTAGAAAATTCAAGAAACACATACTCTTTTGCATTATCACTGCGCAAGATTTGAATAGAAGCACCAAATTGAGTTTTTATTTCTGCACAAAACTTTTGATAAATTGAAAATAACTCAGAACGATTTTTCATTAAATAAACCCAAGTGCAACGGGAGAAATCATCAATAAAGGTGACAAAATACTGAAAACCCAAAACAGACGTTGTTCGACTCGGACCCCAAATATCAGAATGAACAATAGAAAAAGGAGCATCAGCTCTTTTATTGACTCTATTAGCAAAGGAGGAGCGAGTGTGTTTTCCTTGCTGACAAGAATGACAGTTTAAAGACTTAAGATTAGATAAAAAGGGAACCATATGCTGAAGCTTGGAGAGGTTTGGATGACCCAGACGGCTGTGAATTAGCTCAGGAGACTCTGTGAGAGAACAAGCTACTGGAGAAGGTGGTGCAATCAGATAGTAGAGACCTCGTGACTCAACGCCTGCTCCAATCGTCTTCCCCATACCCGAATCCTGCATAGAAAAAGATTGTTTAGAGAAGGTAATAGTACATGAAAGAGAATGAATCAACTGGCTAACAGAGATTAAATTAAAAGGAATGCCAGGTATATAATAAACTGAACACAAAGTTAAAAGAGGAGTTGGTTTGGCTTCCCCAATTCCACGAGCAGGAGCCTTAGTGCCATCAGCAAGAGTGACAAGGGGTAGGTTATTAGAATAAGAAAGTGAAGTGAAGAGATCTTTATTACCACAAATATGATGAGTAGCACCTGAGTCTATTATCCAGGGTCCAAGAGATGATTGATAAAAACAAGCAACATGATTACCAGTGTCTTGAGTAGGATGCTGAGAAGAAACCTTCTTGAGAAGTGCCTCATAGTCGGCACTTGAAAGAGTTACTAATCCAGTTGAAGGTGGCGTAACATCAGTTTGAGCAAAGTTGGCAGTCGGTGGCTTCAAATGAGGGTACTTCCTATAGCAGCGTTCTTCAAAATGCCCAAGATTCTGGCAATAATTGCAACGAGGCCTTTGTCTGCGGCCACGTCTACGACCGCGTCCACTGTTCCAATTGGAATCACGGGCCCGAGAAAAGAATGGAGATGGGGTAGTACCGGAGATGATGCCAGTCGTGTTTTTGGACGCATTATTTGAGCCCTCCATCACAAAATAAAAGGAGATGACCAAAAAATAGAAAAGAACTACAAGAAAGCAAGAAATCGCGCAAAAACGTTGCACAAAAGTGTCCAAACAGCGGGTTTTTCACTGATATCTTTCAAACGGATGGGACCCACAACGAACGGAGACCAGATCTGGAAAGAGGGTGAGGAGGCGAGCAAGATGGTGGTGGTCCGGCCTGGAACGGTGGCCGGACGTTGGCTCACGCGCCGGAACAGTGGTTCGGCCGCCGGAGACTTCCACCGGCGCGTGGATGCTCCGATCAACACGCGGCTTGGACAGACAGGGTCGCCTCCCTGAGCCGCTCCTGATCGCGTGGTGGTTGGTCGGAAAAGTCGCCGGAAAAGCAGTCTGACGGCGGTGAACAGTGGCGGACGGTGGTTTTCTGGCGGTTTCCGGCGATGAACGGAGGCTGACGATCTTTTTCCTGATGATACGAGATTGAGGACAAAAATTTGTGACTAAATAAGGGTTAGGTGTGAAAGGATGGTTGCCGGTATGATGCACGGCAGTAAAAAGAAAGGAAAAGATATATATGCGGAAGCAGAGCCCTCAGATCGAGAGCTCTGATACCAAATTGAATCTGAAATATATTGTATATTCAAGTGTATAAGTCTGTACAAGGAGGCTCTCTATTTATAGAGACTAAAAGACCTAACAGAATGACCTAATGGGCCAAGCCCACAATCTAGACTATTCTAATAATAATAAATAAATTAATATTATTTCTAACAATTGTAATTAAAAAATATTATTAGCCAATTTACAAAATGTACATACTTTCCAACAAGAATAGTTCAAAGGATTGTTGGTACTGAATAAATAGTTTAAACTAAATATAAAAAAGTAGATGCTTTAGAATTGAGATTTACTTACCATGTGAGGGGTCTCCGGAGGAGGCTTGTAAGGGTGTGTAAAAGGTTCCCCGGTTATAAAAGGGTGTTTTGAAGCCTGCAGGAAAACAAACTAACAGTCTAAGTGCTCTTAAATTTTGCATTAATGCAGACAATAAGACAATCAATTACCTGGAAGGGTGACCAGCGCTTTGCAGGATCCAATTCCACTAGACCTCTCAAAAAATCAATAAGAGCCAATCGTATTTGACTTTCTATTATAAGTCAGTTTATACAGCATTCATTAGTGCAATGAACTTGAATAAGAGATACTATACATGCACATGCATAAAAAATAAAATAGCAAAATCATGTTGATAGAAATTTCAAGCCTCTTGGCTTTTAAGTTTTGTCAAACAATATGAAAGCTAACCTTTGACAATATCTTCCTTTGGTAGATTTTTCCTGAACGGATAGTTTGTAACGATTGCTTCAAGGTTCATATGATTAAAATACTCCTTTCCAATTGATGGCTTCTTCAAATCTCTCTGAACAGGAACCAGAAATGTTATAATAAACAAGTAACATATTAAAAAGAATCCAAAAGAAGAAAAGGATTTGAAGAGATGCCACAATGTTCATTTTGGAGAAAGATCCTTCAGCAAAAACAGTAACACTTACAGCTTCATATTCTTCCTCCGTCAATGCCTGATAAACACTTCTTCCTTTTCTGGAACTCTCACTGTTCTCTATATTTTGGAGACTCCCGATACATTTAAAGAATTTACTTGTGTTTTTGGCATCTCTCAGTAGATAATCAGGTGGTTGTCCTCTACAATATATTCACAACATCTATAATGTTATTCAAAACAGTAAGAAATATAAGATGCGATTCGTAGATGAGAACTAAAGTATTTTTTTTTTTCATGTTCAAAATCTAAAGTTGAGATCTGAGAAATTCTGATTTTTATTTACTTAAATATTCATATACAATTGTTTACAATACACAGACTAGTGTGGATAATTGATTTCCAAATAAAGAGATGATTCTAGGAAAACAAATAAGAAATCATACCTATAACCCATTACATACCTTCCCTATAATTATCCTATCACAATCAGTCTAATGAAAGGGAAAAGCGAATCTATAATAATTACATACTTTTTGATTCTATATTTATAACACTCACCCTCAAGCTAGTAATGAATATTTATCATTACTAGCTTGTTGACCAGGTCTTGATATCTCTTGGTGGGAAGTCTCTTAGTCAACGCATCAACTAATCGAAGTCCTAAAGGGATAAATGTAGTTATCAAATCGCTATCCAATTTCTCCTTGATAAAGTAGCAATCAATCTCTCAATGTATTTTATTCAGTCATGCTGAACTAGATATTAAGTTATACAAATGGCAGATTTATTATCCCAGCCTTCATATTTCACTTTGAGTCGTCTAGTATAAGTTTCAGCCATAGTGGTTCACAAAACCCTTGGGGCATAACTCTAAATTCAGCCACTATGCTTGACTTAGCTACCGCATTTTGTTTCTTACTTCATGTTACTAAATTCCCACAACAGAACACATGACAAGTCCAGACTGCATTTGGGACTAAGACTGATAGGGCTAGACTACGCACATAAGACAAGCACCAGCACGGCCATACCGCATCTGGGACAAAGATCGGGGTTAGACTGAAAATCTAGGACGAACATTGACGAGACCAGATAGCATCTGGCACAAAGACCAGCAATGATAAACTGCATATCTGGGACAAAGATCGGTAGGACTAGACAACGTATTCAGAACAAAGACTAGAACATACTCCCAATCTGAAACAAAGTCAAAGATAGAGCCAGATTGCATCTTCTAAATTTCTCCCCCTCAATGCTATATTGGCTCACGAAAAGAGGACCAGCAGATCCATAAATCTTGAGAGAGGACACTGACTGTGCATCTATATATAAACAACCCTCATTTGCAATAATCAAGCTGCTTTGCATATTGCTTCTAATTTATTGTTTCATGAAAGGACTACGCATGTCAAAATAGATTGTCATTTCATAAGAGAAAAGGTCCTCTCACCATAGATATACACTCATTTCTTTAACTCGAATTGTCAACTCGTGGATGCATTCACTAAGCGTTTGAGAGGTCCTCGAATAGATAACATATGGAACAAGCTAGGACTTGAAAAAGAAAATGAAAATATTATTGCTTTCTCAAGAATACATGTAAAAAATGGGTAAAATATATATAAAGAGACTAATGGACCTAAAGAATAAACCTAAATCTTAAAAATAAAGAAACACAAATCTAGCTAATAAAGGAAACAAATAATTACAAATATTTTCCATATTTACAACCCTCACCCTCAAGCTGAGGAATGTATATTTATTATTCCTAGCTAGTTCATGAAATTTGTCAATAGGAAATCCCTTAGTCAAGATATTAGCTAGTTCACAACCAGGAGGAATATATGTAGTAGTGATTAGTCCACCATTTAGTTTCTCTTTTAGATGTTGCAGCCAATCTCAATATGTTTTGTTTGTGTTTGACAGGATTGTGTGTTATACAAATGGCTGACTTTATACAAATGGCTGACTAACTATCATATAGTAACTATATAGGTCCTTCACATCTCACTTTGAGATCATTTAAAATGTTTTTTACACCTCCATGTTACAAGGTTTCCACAAAGAAATATACAATAGCTCGAGGCAGATCGCCGATCAGTCTAAGGATAGTTTTCTGTGAAGAAAATATTATTATGAAGAAGAAAGAACAGTTGCAATGTTTGCCTGAATTGCTTGTCTTAAACCATACCCATCACTCTTCATCTATTTATAAAGACTAAATACAATAAATGTTTTTAATAGAGTCATTAACTCTTCCTGGATGATTATTTCCAATATATCTTAAATTTCTAGTGCACCACTATCTCCATTATCTCTATTAATTACAAAATGATGATACAGCTCCCAACTACTATATTCATTTTTACACAATTTTCCATATTCCCCTCATGCTGGAGATTAGAGGTTTTTCAGTCGCAACTTGAACACTAGACTCTAGAATACAGAACTACTTAACCCTTTAGTGAAAATATATGTTATTTGATGTTCTAAAGCTAAATAGGGAGTACAAATCAATCCATTCTCAAGTTTCTCTTTAAAGAGGTGTCTGTCAATTTTAATGTGCTTGGTTCGATCATGTTGAATAAGGTTATGAGCAATGCTAATTGCAGACTTATTATCACAATATAGCTGCATTGGTCCTTCCCACTTCACTATTATGTCTTCAAGAAGAATTTTTATCCACAATAATTCACATATCCCTTGAGTCATTGCTCTAAATTATGCTTCTAGTACCTAGCAACTACATTCTTCCTCCAAGGAATGTACAATACCCTGTGGTGGATCTCCTATCACTAGGTGAACCAGCATAATCAGCATCAGTATAAGTTGAAGGCAGAGTTTCTCCATTTCTTTTAAATAAAATACCTCTTCCTGGGGATCGTTTGAGATATTGTAACACTCTATGGACTACCTGAAAATGGACTTCTTTCGAATTATGCATAAATTGACTAATTACACTTATTGCATATGCAATGTTTGGCCTTGTATGACACAAATAAATAAGCTTCCCAACAAGTCACTAATACTTTTCTCTTTTATTTGGAGTATCATCATCAACGGACCCAAGTTTGCATTTGGATCTATTGGGCTATTGATTGGTTTGCATTTGAGAAGGTCTGTGACATATTTTTGTCGGGATATAAAAATGCCTTGCTTGGAATGTGCTACTTCAATCCCAAGAAAGTACGTCAATTTTCCTAGAGACTTAATTTCAAACTCTACTACGATATATTGACCCAAGGGAATTTTTCCTCTTGTAAAAATTATATCATCCACATAAGCTAAGAGAGTTGTAACTTCCCCTGAAGATGAATGCTTTACAAACAAGTGAGGTCTCCTTGACTCTGTTTATATCTTTTCCAAGCATTGCCTTCGTAAATCTCACAAACCATGCTTTTAGAGATTATTTTAAGTTATAGAATGACTTTCTTAAATTGCAAACCTTGTTTAAGGGAGCATTATTTTCATAACCAGAAGGTACATCCATATAAATTTCAACCTTAATGTCTTCGTGCAAAAATGCATTTTTGACATCAAACTATTGTAAATTACATCCACTGTTTGTGGTCAAAGCTAGGACGATCCTAATTGCATTCAATTTTCCCCGAAGAGCAAAGGTTTCTTAGTAGCCAATCCAATAGGTTTGAGCGTAACATTTGTCCACGAGCCTCGCTTTGTACCTCTCAACTAATCCATCAGCCTTATTCTTAGAACCGTTTACAATCAATTGTCTTTTTTCCTTCAGGAAATTGAACAAATTCCTAGGTTTTTTTTTCTTTTCAGAGCTATAATTTCATGATTCATTGTTTGTTTCCATTCCTCATGGGTCAAAGCCTCAAACAAGGATTTTGGTATAGGGATGGAGTTTCAATTTATAAGGAAGCCTTATGGAAGGTTGAAAACTTATCAAAAGACAGAAAGTGGGCAAGAAGATATAAAGGTCTTTTTGGGCATTCCCGGGTCCTTTTCCTATGTGCAATAGGTAAATAAATGCTATTATCTAGTAGTGTAATATGTTGCCTCATTTCTAAAATCTGTGTTGGAGTCCTGGACTTTCATTGGATCAGGATTACGCCCTATTGAAAATACCACTTCTTTGCTGAACCTTCCATTTGTAGCTGCAGCTGAATTTGGAGAGTTCTTAGGAACAAAATTATTTGTTGAGCTGGAATATGAACTTGGAGTTTTTGGAAGTTGTTGGTCTTTAGTTAATCGTAATCCTCCTTTTCTTCAATAGACAAGGACTCCCCCTGAAGAGAAGGAGAAGCAAAGTTAGGAACTTCATCTTGGAAGGTGACATCGATAGAAGTATAGAACATGTTGGATGGAAGGTGATAACACTTGTATCCCTTTTGGGTGGAAAAGTAGCCAAGGAAGAGACATTACAATGCTCGGTGATCAAGTTTGTCTCTATTTGGTTGATAGACATGGATATAAGAGACAAAATCGAAAATATAAGGAGAGAGATGAGAGGAATAAGGTGTGTTCGGGTAGAAAGAGGATAGGATATTTATAGGGCTTTGGAGATCGAGAATTTTGGTGGGCGATCTATTGATAAGATAGGTGACTCTGAGGGCAGCTTCTCTCCAAAAATATTTAGGGACTTCTATTTGAAATAGAAGTGCACAGGTTTTTTCAAGATGACCATTCTTCTTTTCAGCAACCCCATTTTGTTGTGGGATATAGACACAGGAGAATTCATGAACAATTCCTTTTGAAAATACTATAAGAGGTGCACGTTAAAGTAGTATTTGGCATTGTATGTGCGGAACCTTTTAATGATAGTACAAAATTAACTTTATTATTTTGGCATTAAAATTTGGAAGGACACAACTAATTTTAGATTTTTGTTTCACCAAAAAAAAGTTCATGTGACCTAAGTGCAATCATCAATAAATGTCATAAAACAACATGCTCCAAAGATATTAGGAATAGAAGATTGTCCCCATATATCACTATGAACTAAATAAAATTGAAAAGTGTCTTTTACTGCTAATGGTGAAAGTCACACGGTTGTGCTTGGCAAACTCACAAATTTCACAATGGAAGCTTGTAACATCAACTTTAGAAAATAAAGAAGGGAATAAGCATTTGATAATTTGGAAAGATGGGTGTCCAAATTGACGATGATGTAGCCAAATTCTGTTGGTTTATTCTAAACTGGTGGATTTCATATGTTGATCTTTTGTAAAAAATA